CATGAGTACTACAGCCGGGAGGCCCCCAACCCCATTCACCTCACTGTGGACACAAGTCTCCAGAACGGCCGCATGAGCATCAAAGCCTATGTCAGGTGACCACAGTCTTGAGCCATAAGGGCATAGAAGACAGTCTAGTTCATACCATGCCTAGATGACATCCCACCCCCACCTCAAGCAAGTTTAATTCCTCAGTGCATAACTCACTGCCTCCTCAGGAAGCCTGTTCCTCTTGCTTAAGCAATAACTGTTAACAGTTATTCGAAAGGTTTTACTCTGAAACAGAACCTCTCCTGTAATTTCCATTCACTGATCCTAGTTGTACTCCTGGTTTCTACTCCTTGCTCTTAGCCAATTTCAAATGGCAGCCCTTTCAGTTATTTAAGCAAGCTATTGTGTTTCTTTGAAGTCATCTTTTCTGGAACCTAACTATCCACATTTCCTACAGCCAGTCCTCACAAGGTGTTCTTGTCACTATCCTTCACCATGTTTATTACTTTTCTGAGTTACCCTTTAATTTGTTGTTATCCCTAGAACTCAACACAGCACTCACGATAGTACAGATTAAAGGATGGCCATCCTTATTTTGAAGACATTTATTAACCCAGGGTTGAGTGCAGTTTTGGTGACAGTAACATTGTTGCTGTGTTAACACATTGAGCTTGCAGGCAGTTAAAATGCGGGTTGATGGAGGCGGGGGATGTTGGGAAAGGCCCTCGTGGCATGCTGCTAGGGGGAGCTGAAAGGATTGTGTCTTCTGGTAAGAGCGAAGGCATTTGTTAGTGCATATCTTACGCTGTTTAACTTTGTGCTGGTTCTCTGTCTGACACTGTAGCCAGTTAACTGTTAAACAGTAAGACAAAGGTGATAAATGCCAAGGCCTTATAAGCCAGTTGGCATACCACTAAGCTCTAGCCACTGCTTGACGTCTTAGCCTTTCCAGGTATAAGAGCCAGTCTATAAACATATATAGTTAATATAGTAAAGTATATATCCAGTATAGAGTTGAGAAGACAACATCTTTAGTGAGATTACTTATAGCAGTCAGTCTAGTCTTGGTGTTCCAGAGTCAACTTGTTTTCTCAGTGCTAATGACGAGCTTAGTCCTAGAAAAGACCTGTCTTTGTCTCTTCTTTCCATGGGAGTGGGTATCTAGGCAGCCAGCTCCACAGAGAAATCCAGAGTCCTGTCCTCTCATCATTGACATTGTACAGTATATGAAGTATTAATAATCTTCTAAAGGGACCAAGCCAGATCCAAAGGCTGAGTACCCTCTTACAGGGCATGGGTTTGGTGTGTGGAATGAGCTAAGGGGAAAAGGTGACTTTTGCTCCTGCGTGATCTCTGGCGTTCAGATGGTCCCAGCCTTCTTATCTCAGAACCTTGGAAGCCATACTCCTGTTGTGACTGCTTTCACAGCCCAGTCTAGGCGTAGAAACCCTCTCCCAAGGCTGTTTGTTTACCTTGACTTCTCCCTCCCTAGCACTTTAATGGGTGTCCCTGGGAGGACCATGGGAGTGATGTTCACACCTCTGACAGTGAAATACGCATATTATGACACAGAACGTATCGGAGGTGAGTAACCTTCCCGTACACTCCTTAGAGGTCTCAGGCATTTTCAGGGGAGGGAGCTGCTGTTCTGTAACAAGGATGAATGCCTTGGGTGGTTCAAAAAGGAACCAGTGATCTAAGGTTTGTGATAGCTAGAAGTCACAGTCTCTCTCCTGTATAAATGGGACTTAAGGAATTATTGGAGAAATTGTTAGAAGTGGGAAATTATTGGCACCAGAGGCCACGTGACCATTCACATGAGACCAAAACCGGTGATTGACATACTAGGTGAAGGGATTGAGCTCTGTAAGGAGAAAGAAAAGCTAGAAAGGGCAGAGCAGGGAGTCTGGGAAAGGTGACTAAGTCCAAAGGGAGGTAGGAAGGAGAGAAAGGACAGTTAGAGACCGTGTCTTTTCCAATGGGATGACTGAATTCTCTGTCTCTTGTTACCTACCACCACGCCCACCCCCCTCACCCAACTCCCACAGTTGACCTGATCATGAAGACCTGTTTTAGCCCCAACCGAGTGATCGGACTCTCGAGTGACTTGCAGCAAGTAGGAGGGGCATCAGCTCGCATCCAGGATGCCTTAAGCACAGTGTTGCAGTATGCAGAGGACGTGCTGGTGAGAGGGGCGTGGAGTAACGGGAGGACCTAGATCTCCACTCTGGGAGCACTGATGAAATGATGGTGTTCAGTGATTAGAGTTAACTGTGCCTCATCGAATCTTTGTTTTGGTGCTCAGTCTGGAAAGGTGTCAGCTGACAATACTGTGGGTCGCTTCTTGATGAGCCTGGTTAACCAAGTACCCAAAATAGCTCCTGACGACTTCGAGACCATGCTCAACAGCAACATCAATGTGAGTGTCATTCCTGGGCCTCTGGGAGCCTAGTTCTTCCCCCACCTCAGCACATAAAAATGTGAGAGGAGTTGGGTGAGGTGGCCTGGAGTAGGATAGAGGAGGCCGGGCTTCACCGATAGCCCCTTGCAGTCCAGCTTGGGAGGAAGGAAAAGATGGTACACGTGCTTGGAGATTCCCTTCTTTCTCGGTCCTTGATTCCATTGTCTCAGTTACTGCTGATACTACTGTGACATGTTGTCTAGATTCATGAGGAAAAGAAATGTTAAATTCAGAGGGCAATGAAAGTACAATTTCTTATTTTCCCCATCTGAGTTCACAGACCCCCTATATTCCACCCATGCATCTCAGTTACAGCACTCCTAGTATATAAGTGTATCGGTAGAGATGAGAAGATATTCTCAAGCATGTCCTTCCTATGTTCCACCTTTGACTCTTGTTCAGTCTCTTTCAGCTGTCATTTATCCAGGACTGCCCTCATACCCAGTATCCACCATGGAGCTGGCCTAGATCGGCCTTTCAGCTCCCTTTCCACCTAGCCCCTCGCTCACTGTGTATTCTTTGTCTTCCAGGACCTGCTGATGGTGACCTACCTGGCCAATCTCACACAGTCACAGATTGCCCTCAATGAGAAACTTGTGAACCTGTGAATAGGCCCCAAGCAGAACTCCTGCCAGTCTGGGTCTAACCCTAGGACTTAGTATGAAGTGAAGGCGAAATGGTTTCTTTGTGGTCTTGAGTCACACTGAGTCAGCCAACTGCTTGTGACTCTAATAAACATGGCCTACCTTTTGTAAATGAGTTCCATTTTATGCGAGTTTATTGCTGGTTGGAAGGGAGGAAAATGTTCTAGAGCTCACTCAGAAACTAGTGAGCGAGTACTGTAGGTACAAGTTGGTTACATGTTTGGCGTGACTCATCATCAAGAGCTGTACCCACAGCCCAAACCACTTTAGCTTCAGCTGCACACACCAGATAGCCTTCTTGCATGCTAGTCTTGCCATGGCACTTTCTCCCCACTCTTTTGCCTATGATCAGGGCAGAAAAGTTATTTTTACCATTTCTCCATAGCATCTTAGATAGATGGCAGTACAAAGGGTTTTATGCACAATATTACTGTACCTGGAGATGCCCTAGTGAGTGAGAGGAGAAGAAAAAGAAGAGGATGGATACAGATCTCAGTCCTGGGACCCATGCATCCATGCTGGTAGAAAGACAGCCTTCTCCATGGTGAGGATTAACTGCTTTATCAAATTGTTCTTTTGGTTTTCAACATGGAAAGTGTCCATTGACAAAACTGAACCATTTCTTGATGGTTCGTGTGGTTTCCACAGGAAATGAAAATGAGAATCCATGTAGAAAAGATAGTTGAAAGAATTGCATACTTTATCTGAACTAAAAGAGTAGTGTGTGTAGTTGGTATCTTAAAATACATTGCTAGTAGGATGGAGCTGTTTGCCACTTTGGTTCAGGGAGACAAAATTAGTATCTATGGGTTGAAGTTTAAAACTTCAGAAAACTCTCAGATGCTGTCTATAACTTGAGAGCAGCCTTGGGTTATGTTGAGGTCTGCCAATGGCTGAATCTTAGCAAAAAGTAAATGACATTTCCCGGAGACCTCATAGGTTAGAGTACCTACCTAGGTAACTTCAAACATCCCTTTCATCTGATATCCTTAAATTTTACCTGGCCACTGTGAGATGTATTGAGAAAGAAACAAGTGTTTATTGAGGGACTGAGGGGTGTATTACATACTGGAGTGAAAAGGTGAATGAAGGTAATTGGGAATCAAAAAGGCCTGGATCCTAATGTCAGTTCTGATACATGTAACCTTAGGAAAGACAAATTCTAGGAATCGTAAGATGTGAATCATGATAATACATAGCCCGTTAGGGTAATGTGAGGATTTTGATGAATTAATGAATGTCAGGTTAACACTTGCAGAGAATAGTGCCTGGTATACAGTCAGCATGAATAAGTGGTAGATACTATGTCTAGAGGTAAATGCAGTTTGAAAGTAATAAGCATCATGAACCCCAGCCTGGATGTCAACTCTGGTTCTGAGGTATGTAACCTTGGGAAATACAAGTTCTGAAGGTTATAAAGTGTGGATAGTAATGATGACTTTCTTACATACAGGGAAATGTAAGCAGATGTTATCTGCAAAATGATAATGATTGGGCCAAATTGTGATTTTATAAATAGAATGCATGGTGGGAAGAGGGTTAGAGTTAAAATGTTTCAGTGTTCTTAGGGATAGGCAGTTATTATCAACTTTAGTCTTTTTAAGTATGCATGATAAAATTCCAAGGCTAATTACTGGAAATATATAAAGTCAAAAACAAGTGAAACTAAATTTATTTAGACATATAGTTGGCCCTCTATATCTGGTTTCCACATTCATGGATTCAACCAACTTTGGATTGAAAATAGGGGAAAGAAAGTCACATCTGTACTAAACATGTACAAACTTACTTGTCATAATTCCCCAAATGGAATACTTTTTATAGTATAATAAGTATTTACATAGGATTTACATTGTATTAGGTATTGCAAGTAATCCAGAGAGGATTTAAAATAAATGAGAGGTTGTGTATAGGTTATATGCAAATACTACACCATTTTATACCAGGGACTTGAGCATCCAAGGATTTTGGTAGGAAGGTCCTGGAACCAGTCCCCCATGGATACTGAGGAAAAACTGTATGTAAAAATTGTGTGTGTGTGTGTGTACAGTCGTTTTATTATCCATAGTAGTTCCATAAAGTAACTATGAACACTTAGAGAGTACTACACCATTACTCCTAGGAGAAATGCAGGGTTAGGTTTCTACGAGCCACTGGCCATATTTTCATCAGCCTATCAATACATAACCTTGTTACATGTGTGTTTCCATTTAAAGATACCTTACTTAACATATTAATCTATGGTTGATCCAATAACGTTGAACTCAGCCAACAACACACATACAGTTTCTCCATAAGGCACATCACAGACGCCTTGCACTTAGGAACGCTCTGCATTACGTTTGGTTACCATTTTAAGCAGCAAAATCAACAAAAACAAACAGACTGCAAACAGGATACTTGCTTATGAAAGCTGAAACAAGGTCTTGTTGCACCTCAGCTGGGAACATGCATGGCAGGCAACTCAAATTTTTCAACACTCTGCATGTCTGCAAATAACGTCAAAACACTGCAAGTATCGATAGTGGAATTAGAAATAAATGTTAGTGAGAAATGAATTCACAAATACAGAATCTGAATAATGAGAATTGAATATGATGTGTATGATTGACTATATATGATACATGTATCTCGTATATGATAAAACTGAAACCAAAAAGCAAAAGAATGAACAAAAAATTCACAGTAGTGTTTACCTTGGTGGTGAGAGGAGCCTGGCAAGTAGAGTAAGTGTAAGTTATTGACAATGATCTGGTTTGAGGTTGGGCAGTGGTTTAATTATATATAGTCCAACATGAACTAATGATCACAATGTGGTGTTATTTGTCTTTACTTAGCTTTGTTCCAGACTTAATAGCCATTGTATTTAAACAAGATAAAAAAATAGGAATATTGAAAATAAAATGGAAAGGAGGGCTTTTTTTAAAATTAATATTATTCAGTTGATAGTGAAGAAAACTTTAAAATGCCAATGAGAAACATAAGATGTAGTCACTTGAAGGTATGTCATGTTCTTGGATAAGAAGAGTATTTTAAAAGGTGTCAGTTCTCCCTTAGTTAAACTATGTATTTGTCATAATCCCAGTAAAATACAAAAATATCTTTTTTGGAACCAGGCAAGCTGTTTCCTTTTTTTTTTTTTTTGAGACAGAGTCTCACTGTGTTGCCCGGGCTAGAGTGCCGTGGTGTCATCCTAACTAACAGCAACCTCAAACTCCTGGGCTCAAGCAATCCTCCTGCCTCAGCCTCCCGAGTAGCTGGGACTACAGGCAAGCGCCACCATGCCCGGCTCATTTTTTTTCTATATATTTTTAGTTGTCCGATTAATTTCTTTCTATTTTTAGTAGAGACGGGGTCTCGCTCTTGCTCAGGCTGGTCTCGAACTCCTGAGCTCAAACAATCCGCCCGCCTTGGCCTCCCAGAGTGCTAGGATTACAGGCGTGAGCCACCGCTTCCGGCCCAGGGAAGCTGTTTCTAAATGTTGATATGGAAAAATAAAAATGTCTCCCAAAAATCCCTGCAAAGAACAGAAACCAATCTTACCAGATATTAAAACATAGAACTATGTAATTTATACAGTATTGGTTCATAAAAAGACAAATAAACCAAATAGACCAATAGATGCAAATGTGTATAAATAACAAGTGTTGTTGAGGATACGGCGCAAAGGGACCTTGTACACTGTCTGAATGTAAGTTAGTACAGCCATTATGGCAAACAGTATGGAGGATCCTCAAAAAATTAAAAAGAGAACTACCATACGATCCAGCAATCCCACTGCTGGGTATATATCCAAAGGAAATGAAATCAGTATGTTGAAGAGGTATTTGCACTCCTGTGTTCATTGAAGCATTATTTACAATAGCCAAGATAAGGAATCAATCTTTAAGTGTCCATCAGCAAACGAATGGAAAACGCAAATATAGGTGTACACAATGGAATATTATTCAGCCATAAAAGGAAATCTGTAATTTGCAAGAACAACGGATGAACTTGGAGGATATTTTGCTAAGTGAAACAAGCCAGAGAAAAACAAATACTGCATGATCTCACATACATGGCATCTAAAAATGTTGAACTCACAGAAGCAGAGAGTAGAACGGTGATTGCATGGGCTGGGGAGTGGAGGCAAAAAGGGAGATTTGGTCAAAGGGTACAAAGTTTCAATCAGACGGAAGAATAAGTTCTGGAGACCTGTTGTGCAGCAAGCAGGGTTACTATAATTAATGTGTACTTGAAAATTGCTAAGAGAGTAGATCTCAAATGTTCTTACCACAAAAAATATGATACATACATCAAAACATCACATTGTACACCATAAATATATACACTTATTTGTCAATTTAAAAATAACAAAATTGCATATAAAATTCTAGAATATAAAGTTTTTGCAAATGAATAAAGATGGATTAAGTGAGGACAAGTGAGTGGTCATCAGAAAATGAAGTTGGAGTCCTACTTCATGACTTTCATCAAAATAAGTTATTCATAGAATAAAAATTTTAAGTGTGAATAAGCCATATAAATAGGGGAAAAAACAGCAAAACTTTTTAATGATTTATGAGTAAGAACTTTCTAAAATCTGGGGATCCAGGAGTTATTTTTGTAAAAAGACTGATAAATTCAACTACAGTTTAAATATCTGAACGGTAAAATGCACAAATAGTCAATACAAATATAAAACTGGGAAAATATTTGCAAATTCATATCAAAGAGTTAATATTCTTATCATATAAAATCCCTACAATCAGTTTTTTAAAGGCCAATAATCTGATATATAAGTATGTGAAAGATGCGACCAGATAGTTTGCGTGCACACACACACATATGAAAAGATGCTTAAGCTCACTGATAAAAATATGAATTACAGTAAGATGCCATTTTTGTTTGTCAAATTAGCAAATTCTAAAACTTGATAACACTGTAATGGCCAGAGTAAGGGGAAACATGACATGGGCATTCATTGCTAGTAGGTGTGTAATCAGCACAGCCGTCTCCATGGAGGCATTTTGAATTTGTATTTAGCAAAATTACAAATGTACATACCCTTAACCCAGGAATTGTGCTCCTACTTGTGTATCATGCAGAAAAGCCAGCTTGATTGTGACATAAT